AGATAATTATTCCCAATACAGAGTCCTGAACCATGAGAAAAAAGGACCTAGGGTAGAATCCCAGTTCTTCCAATTTATCAGTGTGAATTGAGTCAAGAGACAGATGCCTCCACAGTTTGGTTTTGTGTGTTTTTTTTAAAAAGATGCTTTTCTTTTCTAATTAAGCTTTTTGCAAACTCTCATGTAATTATAAGAAAGAATCCAGAGAGATCTGTGTGCTCTTTCCTGAGTTTTCCCCAGTGGTGCCATCTTGCAAAGCTGCAGTTCCATTATCACAAGCAGGATACTGACTGTGACACAGATGTTTCCATCACCACAAGGCTTCTTCAGCTTGCCCTTTTATAGCTGTGCTTACTTCCCTCCTGTATCTATCTCCTCCTTGTTGTTGTTAGGTGCCATCAAGTCCGTACTGACTCATAGCGACCTTATGCACAGCAGAACGAAACACTGCCCAATCCTGGGCCAACCACACTACTGTTGCTACGCTTGAGTCCATCGATGTTGCCACTTGGCCAATCCATCTCATTGGGGGTCTTCCTCTTTTTCTCTGACCCTCCACCTTAACAAACATATCCTTCTCCAGTGACTTGTCCTTCCTGACAGTATGTCCAAAGTATGAGAGATGAAGTTTGACCATCTTGGCCTCCAAGGTGCACTCTGGCTATACTCCTTCCAAAATAGTGGATCTGTTGGTTTATTTGGTAGCCCATGGCACTTTCAGTATTCTCCTCTTCCTTAACCCCTGGCAACTACTGATCTGTTCTTATTTCTGTAAGGTTGTTGTTTCAAGAATGTAACTGATTGTTTTGCTGGCTCTTTTTCACTTAGTATAATTCTTTGGAGATCCATCAGATTGTTGGTATGTCAACAGTTTTTGGGTTTTTTCCTTAATTGTAATTCCTAAGTATATTCCTTGCTTGCTGAAAGTGAAGAGGACTTAAAACACTTACTGATGAAGATCAGAGAGCACATCCTTGATGATATGAATGTTAGATTTTTCTTTGTCATACAGGGCTCTCCTGAGTTTACCTTCACTTTTTTGTAAGCCAGTTTTTTCTGTTTTTCAGATGGGCTGTTCCCCCATGTTTTATCTTCAAGTTTGTGGATTCTTGTCTCCATCTCCTCCATTTTACTGTTGAGCTCACCCACTGAGTGTTTTAGTTGATTATTATTGTTTTAGTTCTAATCTTTTCATATGATTCTCCTTTTTAATCTTCTGTTTCTTTGCTGAGGCTTTTTTTTTTTTTTTAGTTTCAAAAGTTTATAACTACTAACTAAAACATTGTATGATGGCAGCTTAAATTTTTTCCAGATAATTTTAACAACTCTGTGATTTCTGGTATTGACATCTTTTTATTATTTTATTCAGGTTGAGATCTGTTTGGTTTTGATAGATGGATGCGGCAGTTCCATTGCTGTTGCTGCTGCTGATGCTACTTATCAGTAATCTGGTCTCTTTCCAAGTATTTTTAACTCTGTCTCCCAATAAGTACTTGATCCACTTTTCTCGCCGTTCTCTGGAGCCCAGAGTTCCAGGACCATTGTCTGTATCTGTCTTGTCTGGTTTTCCGTATCCTTGCTTCAGAGAGCCTACACAGCCTTTCTGCCTAGATTGTCATCTTTCTCTGCCTCCTTGGTTTTGGTATAACGAGTGATTTTTCTATGGAAATTTGTCATGTTAGATATTGAACTGTGAAATTTGGATCTTATGTAAACCTCCCCCCCCATATGTTTATTAAATATATTTTTATAACCTTTTGGAAAAATGTCTGTTAGGTCTTTTGCGTATTTTCTAATACATGTTCTAATTGGTATCCTAGAGGAATTTTTTTTCTTTTATTTATTGAGGTTAACTTTGCGGCCCAACGTAACGATCTTTTCTGGAGAGTGTTTCATGTGCACTGGAGAATAATATATGTATAGTGTGCTATTGTTGGGTGGAGTGTTAATATATATGTCTATGAGCTCAAGTTGGTTGTTTAGCTGTTAGTGTCTTTACTGAATTTTCCTCTAGTTGTTCTGACTGTCCTTGAATATGATGTATTAAAATATCCTGCTATTTTTGTATCAGGAGAGAAAGAGGAGGCTTTCTGCTCCCCAAAAGATTTGTTGTTGTTGTCAGGTGCCATCGAGTTGGAACCGACTCATAGCGACCCCATGCACAGCAGAACGAAACAATGTCCGATCCTGGGCCAACCTCACTATTGCTGCCACACTTGACGCCATCAATGATGCCACTTGGCTGATCCATCTCGTTGGGGGTCTTCCTCTTTTTCTCTGATCCTCCATCTTACCCAGCATGACGTCCTTCTCCAGCAACTGTTCCCTCCTGACAATATGTCCAAAGTATGAGAGACGAAGCTTAGCCATCTTGGCCTTCAAGGAGCACTCTGGCTGCACTTCTTCCAAAACAGATCTATTGGTTCTTTTGGCAGTCCATGGCACTTTTAGTATTCTCCTCCAACACCACAACTCAAAGGCATCAATTCTTCTACGATCTTCCTTATTCACTGTCCAGCTTTCGCATCCATATGAGGTTATTGAAAATATCATGGCTTGGGTCAGGGGCACCTTAGTCCTCAAGGTGACATCTTTGCTTTTCAACACTTTAAAAAGTTCCTGTGCAGCAGATTTGCCTAATGCAATACGTCGTCTGATCTCTTGACTGCTGCTTCCGCGAACGTTGATGTTGATCCAAGAAGAATGAAGTCCTTGACAACTTCAATCTTTTCTCCTTTGATAAGACTGTTGTTTATTGGTCCAGTGGTGAGGATTTTTGTTTTCTTGACTTTGAGATGCAATCCATACCGAAGGCTGTGTTCTTTGATCTTCATCAGTAACAGCCTTGGAAACCCTATACAGGCTCACTATGAGTCCGAACTGACTCTAGGGCACTTAACAACAATTGTGTAATTGTCCTTTTCTCTCTTCAGGTCTGTTGTTAAGTGCCATTAAGTCAGTTCTGACTCATAGTGACGCGATATAGAGTTTCTAATGAGCAGCTGGTGAGCTTGAACCACCAACCTTATAGTTCCAACTAAGCTTGCAGTCTAGCACATTAACCCACAGCACCACACCAGGGCTGATTTATGTATTTTGAGATTCTTTGATTAGGTGCATAAATGTTTATTATAGTTATGACCTCATGTTCAATGAATCCTTCATCCATTATATAATGTCCTTCTTTGTCTCCTGTGCTGGCTTGTGTTGTAGCTGGCTTTCTGTGACACCACTCCATCAAAGGAAGTCTGGATGCTGCCTTATTACTACCAAGTGGGGAGTAGAGTTTCAGCATCCCTGTTTGGCTTCTCTTGACAACCATCATAGGGACTCCTTGTTTACTGAGAAGGGGTGAGAGGCAGGTTCCTTACTTTTTGTTGTTAAGTGCCACCGAGGCAGTTCCAACCCATAGCGACGCTGTATAGGGTTTCTGAGTAGTGACTAGTGAGCTTGAACTGCAGACCTTGCAGTTCAAACCAACTTTGCAGTCCTGCACATTAACCCACTGCACCACACCAGGACTCCGGTTCCTTACTTTTACAAATTCCTCCTAGCTGCCTAATTACTGCTGCTTCCGTAAAGATTTACAACCTTGGAAACCCTGTGAAGGGTTGTTATGAGTCAGCACTACTCCACAACACACCACCACTACCACCTCCACCATGTGGCTTTTACTGACCCTACAAGGGTTTGTTACTGCCAAGCAGGGATGAATGTGTCAGCTCTCTTTGGTCTTTTCTGACACCAGCCTGCTGAGGTGGAGTGTGGCATTGTCTGTTTCAGTATCATAGATGGGAGTTGTTTCACAACCTGTGTGTGGTATTTTGCTCTAATGAACATTTATTTGCTAAGTGGTTTCTGCCTGGTTTCTGTTTCTTTGACTAAAGAGAACAGATATTTTTCATGGCTTATTTTGGTCTGTACTTCATGGTGTTTCCAGGTTGCCATCTCTTTAGCACCTAGTCTGAGATACTAAAGCCCCAAAGAAAATTCAAGGCGCTCACTGCTGTGTCCTTCTTAAGGAGCTAGTGACCCTCTTTCCACCTTTCAGAGTATTCTTATGTTTGTTTTCAAATAATGTTCAGTGTTCGTAGTTGCACTTAGTCTGAAAATGGAAAAAGTGTGTCTCCTCCATATTTCTGGAATGGTAGTTCACCTAGGGTGTACATTTTGCTTTTTGATCATGAGTTATCTCTATTTTAAAAAATTACCTAGTCATTTATAGGACTTGTTTGAAATTAGTAAATTGAGTGAAACATTACAATTACATTAGGTAACACCCAAGTTTTATTTTATATTTTAAGGTCATTAATTTTTTGAGAAAGCAAAGTTTGACCTGTTGTGTCAAAAATGATGTTGGATTTAGAATCATGTAACTCTGGTAGCGTAGTGGTTACGAATCAGGCTGCAAACCTTACAGTCAGCAGTTCGAAACTACCAGCTGCTTCGCGGGAGAAAGATGAAGCTTTCTGCTCCCATAAAGATTTACAGCCTCAGATACCCTGTACAGAGTTGCTATGGGTTGGAACCCATATGACTTGATGGCACTTAACAACAACAGCAAGATTAAAATATAAGTTTTATCAAAGATTATGGAGGTTTTCATTATTTTATTCAGACAAGAACTTAGGTTCTTAGGTACAAGGATTATTGCTTGTTAGATTAATTTAGGAACTAATTTTTTTATATCATTAAATGATGGCTTTGGGGGAGTGAATGTTATTTCACATGAACTAGAAACATGGCTTTAGATCATTATAAATATTTCATCATGCTGTGTGGGAAGATAATTGGGTTGAGGATTTGCATTATACCAGATGTTTATAATTCTATAAACTTTTCATGGAGAAAGTAGACCAATAAAGCTATACTTTAAAGAAGAGTAATATCAGAAGGAACTATGTATTATGTTTTTTTTTTAACTGAATAATAATAAATTGGTTGTTCTTGTCAGCTTGTCTCTCAATGTATCAAAAATATTTTCTGTATACTTTTTACAGATTGAAATTGTGAAAGAAGAATTTAATGAGCATCTGGAAAATGTGGACAAGATAAACCAGATCTGCAAAAACCTACAATTTCATCTAAATAAAATGAGAACCTTTGAAGAACCACCTTTTGAAAAAGAGGCTAATATTATTGTTGATCGGTGGCTTGATGTATGTGATAATTTAATTGAATTGAAATTCTACTTTATAACATTTTAACTGATTTATTGAATGTGTATCTTCATTTAATTTCCAAATTCAAAAATGCTTTTTGTCAAAATATTCAAATGTTATGACTGGCACTACTAGCAAATAGGTGTAGAATCATTTAAATAAAGAAATATAAACTCATTTTATTTCAAATAAATACTGCACATTCATAAAGGTTACTGACGTGTAATATATTTATTTTGGTTGAGTAGTAGTGATATTTTTGTGAATTACAAATTAAGGATATGTCTGCATTATATTTTCACCTCAGCTGAATAAATAAAAGGCAAATTCTTTTGTTGATGAATAAAGCAAATTATTTACCTAATAATCATAAACTAACATTTGGTTTTAAAATGGTGTATGAATGAAACAGTGTTTCACATATGTTTCAATATGTAATTTCTGATTTTTATTTATGGTAGATAAATGAGAAGACAGAGGACTACTATGAAAATCTCGGTCGAGCTCTGGCTTTGTGGGACAAACTTTTTAGCTTAAAAAATGTCATTGATGAATGGATTGAAAAGGTCCTTCAAAAGGTGGAATTACCACTGACAGAAGAAGAAACAGAAAGACTGAAGGTAATTTAACAGTGATAAAATATTTGGTTTTCCATAATTTCCATGTGGAAATTAACATTTGTTAATGTTGCATTTGGTTTCTTGGAGCAAGTAAAAAATAAATCAATTGTAAAAGTCTGTGGTTCAAACTCACCAGCCACTCGGAAATGGCACTTAACAATTAACAGGTGGTTCAAATGGTCTAACAATGTACTATTAATATCATGTTTGGTAGGGTGGAGGGTCAGAGAAAAAGAGGAAAACCCCCAGCCAGATGGATTGACAAAGTGGCAGCATCAGTGGGCTCAAGCTTGGGAAAGATAGTGAGGTTGGCCCAGGATTGGGCAGTGTTTCGTTCTGCTGTGCATAGGATTGCTATGAGTCAATATCAACTCTATGGCACCTAACAACAAAAAGATGTTGTTATTGTTATGTGCCGTGGAGGTGGAGTCAGTTCAAACTCATAGTGACTCTGCACAGGGTTTTCGAGGGTGTAAATCATTACAGGAGAAGAAAGCCTCGTTTTTCTCCCATGGAACAGCTGGTAGTTTCGAACTGCCGACCTTGACTTTAGCAACCTGATTCGTAACCCCTACTCTACCAGAGCTCCTTGAAAGATAGACAGGAGCACCTTGTAAGGAAGGCTTGGCAATCTGCTTCTGAAAGGTCACAGTCTTGCAAACCCTATGGAGTAGTTCTCTGTATACATGGGGTTGCCCCATGGATTAGAACTAACAGCACATTCTCTGAATACATGAAGTTAAGGATTATACACTTTTAGCCTGTGGCCCAAATTCTGCCAAAGTATATGTCAGTTTATGTGTGATTTGTGGTCCAATTTAACGAGTTGCTGCCAAGTTAATTCAAACTCTTTGGGACCTTAAATGTACCAGAATGGAGTCCTGGTGTGGTGCTGTGGACTGCAAGGTTGGTGGTTCAAGCTCACCCATGGCTCCTTGGAAAACCTATACTGGGTCACTGTGAGTCAGACTGACTTGATGGCACTTAACAACAATCTATCAGAATGGTTGGTTTTTTTCAGAAGTAGATCTGAATCTGAAAAACCTCCAATTTTTGGATTAGCATCCAAACCCTGTTAACCCATTTGTGCCTCCCAGGGAGTCCTGGTGTGGTGCTGTAGGATAAGCACTGGACCCACTCGCAAGGTCAATTTGAACCACCGGGTCAGCAGTTAAAAGCAACCTTGGGGAAATCCTATACAGGGATTTCTCTATGCATTGGAACAGACTCAGAGGCACTTAACAACAAAAATGGGACTCCAAGGCTCAGTTTTCATATTTATGAAATTTAGTACTTCTAGGCAGGATGTGCATTCTTTTTGGCATAGACCTCACCCCTTTAAATATTGTCTTGTTAAAACACAAAGTATTTTTAAATAATAAGATTTACTTCAGCAGTTATTCTGTAAACAGATAAACCCAATTGGTGCAATGTAGGCTAGTTACAATGAAGTTAAGAAAAAAAAAGGGAGGCGAACAGAAAATCACCCAGTAATTTGATCATGATTGATTGAACCTTGCCCTGTGGGATTGCTAGGTGGTGTCTGTCATGGAGACATTTACCTGCACAAATCTTGTTAAGTTTTTAAATGATAAAGATCCCTCAGTTATTCAGGGAATTCCAGAGGTTATTGCTCAGGAAGCTAGGAAATCTAGTCAACAAGATCAACTCTGAGCTAATTTATGGTTAACAAATGTCTGTCACAAAGGGGGTTTACAAACATTTAATCGCTGTCTTAAAGCTAGAATGCCTCACTTGGTCATAACATTTGTCTGACTACTGGAACTCTGCCAAAAATCCAATTTAAAAGGCTTTCTCATTTCTGTATATCAACAACAGTAATCATGACTATCAGGAAATAAAAAAATAAAATTATATTTATCTTTAAAATTTTGTTTTAGGAAGAGTTGCAAGTTGAAGAACAAAAACTTCCAGAATTTTTTAGAAGAGTGGCTGAGATACAATTTCTGCTTCAAACCAGTGAAGTACCTCTTGAGTTGCAGGTAAGAAAAAATTTCTTAAATTCTCCAATCTAAGTTTTCTTTTATTTTTGTTTTTGAAATATCTGCTATGTTCATAAATCATAAATTCTAAACATTCAAATTAAAATAAAATTAGAATCATTGTTGAATTCACCTTTATTAAATTTGTGCAATACGTGTTTTAAATTTTTTAATATTTGGAATAGTCTAGTAAATGTGTTCCATTTTAAGAATGATTAATATTGTAGTTTTGCATAGCTTTATTCTCATTTCACTTATTTTACAGGCTTCTTGTGTGGAATAGAGATGATGGTTTGCTTGCATCTAAAATAACAAGGGTTTTCTCATGAGAATCTTGTCCTTGGGTGTAGAAAGGGAGAATTTGGCTCAAAGACCATTGTTTCAGTCACTACAGGGCTACACAGAGAGATTGACCCAAGTTTCATTTTCTGTTTTGTAAAAACATTTGTTGCAGTTTTATTTAGATCAAAGTATATGGTGGTTGATCTAAAGAAAACTAAATATGAACTCTGGAGTTAGGCTTTGTGGACAAGGTTCTGATTCTGCCAACTTCTTGTGATATTTAATAAGTTACTTGACCTTCTTAAACCTCTACATTATATGTAAAGTGTTTACTATGAGGATGTGTCTATGCTAAACATTCATTAAATGCTGGTCTTTATTTTTTCATGTTTTAACATATCTTTAAATGAGTGCTATGAAATAGCACCTCAATTGTCATACTGGCTAAAATTTATTTTAGGGGAAAGGATTCAATTTAGTCTCCTTGAAAAGCAAAAAGATATTTATTTCAATGTTTTCATGTTACTCTTTGTACTTTGTAAATGTTATATTCATAATGCGGAACAACAAATACAGAAGAATTTATTCCCGTGTGAAATGAAGTCTCAATTTATCTTCTACCAACCTAGTCTTGAAATCTAATTAAATCAGGTTTGTTATAGTACTTCATATGTTTCATGATTTCAGATGATGGAGTCTTCGATTTTGAGCAAAATGGACCATGTAAAAATGAGTTTAACAGGTGAATCCAACCGCAGTGCTCTCAGTGGCAACACAGATGAACTAAGAGAAGATCTTGACCAGGCCAAAACTCAGATTGGGATGACTGAATCCCTCTTAAATGCCCTGTCTCCTTCGGACAGCTTGGAAATTTTTACTAAACTAGAGGTACCAGACTCTGTTCTGTGATTCAGCCTTAGTATTGCACTTATTTGTCAAGGTCTTTACCTGTTCTAAGATAGAGAAAATAGAAGGGGGACTCCTGATATGGTGCTGTAGGATCAGAACTAGATTGCAAACCACAAGGTCAGCAGTTCAAACCCACCAGCTGTTCCTCAGAAACTCTACACAGGGTCGCTATGACTCATAGCCAACTCAAGGGCATTTAACAACAACAAAATACAACAAGAATAGAAGGTGGGGTTGGAGATGGTTGGGAAACTTCAGAAAACCAGTTCATGTGTAGTTAGCATTTTCACCTTTGAATTGCTTATGGACAGTAATTATAGTCCTGGTGTGGCTCTGTAGGTTAATATGTTGGACCTCAAGGTAGGTTTGAACCGCAAGATTGGTGGTTTAAGCTCACCAGCTGCTCCTCCAAAACCCTATAAAGGATCACTATGAGTCAGAACAGACTTAAAGACACTTAACAACAACAAGTTGCATTGCCTTGTAAATTTAGCAGCAAAGAAAAAGCAAATCGACTCAATATGGCGTCATCTAGATCCTTTTTAAAACAACCAAGATACAGTATGCTCTGTGTAGAGCAGCCCACTTTAAGATTTAGGGTTGTTTGCTTGTTTGTTTTTATTTAGGAAATACAACAGCAAATTCTACAGCAAAAGCAGAGTATGATATTACTTGAGAATCAAATAGGCTGTTTGACTCCTGAGCTCTCTGAATTAAAGAAGCAATATGAAAGTGTCAGTGATTTATTTAATACCAAAAAAAGTGTTTTGCAAGATCACTTCTCTAATTTACTGAATGGTAAGTGCAATGATTTTTCTGTTGTGTTTCTGGGGATCTTGAAGCATGACTATAGTACTGTGAATACAGAAACTGACATTAAGACTAACAAGAGTTGGTTGCTTAGAGTATATTTTTAAAAATACTCAGACATATCTTCTGGGGTTCCAGCTCACAGATCTATGGCTGACATAAATAACATCTATTTCTTTGTGGTCCCCAATCTTTATTTCATGGAAGAAAGTCTTTAGAGTCTCAGTGTTTGGCCCACTCATACTGGTCACTGAGTCTGGAGTATGCCAGCAATCAGACTGCCTTTCCAAGTGTCTTGGTGTGTAGCAGCTGGCTCTGAAAGGGGGTTTGGTGTAGAAAGTACAACATAACTGTTTTTCTAGGCTGCTTTATCCAGGGGTGTGGGAAGCAAGTTTCAAAATCTCTTTGACAAGAGGTATGAGGATCTCTGAATGAATCCAGCTCTTTCCACAGCCCCTTTAAAATGTACATACTTTTTTCCTGCAGATCACTGCAAGAACTTCAATGATTGGCTTGGCAACACTAAAATGAACCTTAAGGAGTGTTTTGATTCATCAGGAACCAAAAAGAGTCTGGAACAAAAGCTGCAAAAACTTTCTGTAAGATTCATACATACATTTTAATAAAAATAATCTTTATAAATTTTCAAAACAAATTTGGAGGCATAGACATTTATTTAAATTAAAAAGATAATAATCACTTTGTCTTACTTCCTTGCAGAAAAGATAACATTTCTAAATCACCTAGCTTTTCCCCAAGACTTTGCAAATTCCTGGTCTGCCACTATTGGATCGGCACAGGATTGTGAACCAAAAGGTCACAAGTACAGCACTGTAAACCCATCAACTGCTCCTTGGAAACCTAATGCAGAGTTGCTAAAAGTCAAAACCAACTTGAAACCAACTTGACAACACTTAAAAACCAACTAAAAAACATTCATTGTATAATGTGCAAATGACTTTAAATATTTAAATAAGCTCTACTTTTTATACCCATTTTAGAATGTTTTTGTAGTTGTGTAGTGCTATGGAAGAAATGGAAGAAATGAGGAGGTCCAAGAGCTGAACAGAAAATTTCAAAGATCAGCTAGAGAAGTTAAAGCCAAATATTACAACAAAATGTGTAAAGATCTGGAATCAGAAAACCAAAAAGGAAGGTATTAATACATTCAGTATTTCTCAAGCTGGGGGAACTGCAGAAAAAAATTCAAGCCTCGACTTTCATTACTGAAGAATTCTCAAATTATTGAATCATGCAGAAAGCATTAAAAGAAGATGGAAGGAATACACAGAATCACTGTACCAAAAGGAAATGGTTAATGTTCAACCGTTTCAAGAGGTAGCATATGATTAAGAGCCAATGCTACTGAAGGAGGAAGTCCAAGGTGCATTGAAGGAATTGGCAAAGAACAAGGCACCAGGAATTGATGGAATACAAATTGAAATCTTTCAAGAAAGTGAGGCGGCATAGGAGGCACTCACTCATCTCTGCCAAGAAATTTGGAAGCAACTATGTGGTCGACTGACTGGAAGAGATCCGTATTTGTGCCCGTTCCAAAGAGAGGTGACCCAATGGAATGTGGAAATCATCAGACAACCTCTTTGATATCCCATGTGAGTACAGTTTTACTAAAGGTAATACAGAAACGGCTGCAAACATACATTTACATAAAACTTCTAGAGGTTCACGCCAAGATTCAGAAGAGGCCATGGGACAAGGGATATAATTGCTGATGTCTGATGGATTTGGCTGAAAGCAGAGAATATCAGAAAGATGTTTACCTGTGCTTTGTTAACTA